TAGATTGACTTGTAGGCATTTCATTTTTTAGATGCTATTGTGAAAGGTGCTGTTGCCTAATTTGTTTCTCAATGAGTTTGTTTTTGTGTGCTAGAAGGCTATTGATTTTTGAGTGTTGATTTTGTGTGCAGCTATGCTACGGAATTTACTTATTCAATCTAGAAGTGCTTTGGTGGAGTAGTTTGGGTCTTCTTTGTCATCCACAAAAAAAGATAATAGAACGTCTTCATTTCGTATCCTTATTACTTTTCTTTCTTTCTCTTGTCTAAATGGTCTGTCTGATGTTTGAAGGAGTATACTAAATAACAGTGGTGACAGTGGTCATCCTTGCCTTGTTCCTGATTTTAGAGTAAAACTTTCAATTTTGTTCCATTTGGTGTGATGTTGGCTGTTGGTTTGTCATAAATGGCTTTTATCAGTTGAGAGAAAGACCATGTATTCCAGTTTTCTGTAGGGTTTTTATCATGAATGAGTGCTGGAGTTTGTCAAAAGCTGTGTCTGCATCTATTGAGATGATCATGTAGTTTTTGTCCTTGGCCTGTTAATATGATGTATTTCAGTTATTGATCATGGAATGTTGAAGCATCCCTCCACCCTTGGGTTGAATCCAACTTGGTTATGGTGTGTAATCTTCTTGATGATATGCTGCATTTGTTGCCAGTATCTTCTTGAGGATTTTTGTGTCTGTTTGTTACGGAGTTTGGCCTGTAGTTCTCTTTCTTGGTTGGATCATTCTTTCGTTTTCATGTCAGGGTAATACTTGCTTTCAGGAATGAATTTGGGAATAGTGCTTCCTTTTTAGTTTTATTAACGACTTTGAGAAATAATGGTATTAGATCTTCTCTAAGTTCCTTGTAGAAGTCAGAAGTGAATCCACCAAGGCCTGGGCTTTTCTGTGTTGATAGGTTTTTAGGTACATCTTCAATTTCATTGACTCATACTAGATATTTAGAATTTTTATATCTTTTTGATTCAGCTTTGACAATATGCATGCATCTAGGAATCTGTCCATTTCCTGTGCATTTTCCAGAAATCTTTTCTCTACATGATAGTGCGTGAATTTGTGAAGATGCCTTGGCCTTAGGTCCCTTGATATCAGATCACTATGCCATAGAGGTGACTGATATTAACGTTTACCTCAGAAACTGGAGAAGGATTCGTAGGAAACCTAAAGCCCACTGGCAGTAAATACTTTCTGTCTATGTTATGACTGCCCTTCATAACGTGGAAGTTGCTGTATTGACCTGGGAGGCCGGGCTCAGTGATGCGATGTGAAGTGAGGTTGCTGGTTGCACAGCCTAAAGTGTCAGTTTTAGGCGTTCGTATTCTGACTCCAAGAGTCTCAGTTTAGATCTATGGAGATGTAGTCCCTAACACCGAATGTGAAGCCCTCAGCTGGGTCAGGCACCGTGCTGCACCCTCGAGGCTCAGGTATTGCAGCTGGCAGGGATCTTGGTCATTGTCACTGATATTCCTTCATTCCTGTGATGTCTGGAGCCCTGTCTGTCCCCATCTCACAGCCCACGATTTCCTGTGTCCCATTCTCCCAAAGGCTCCCACATAGAAGGGTCCTTTCCTTTGCACTACTGCATTCTCTCCAGGACATCATCTCCTGCGCCTTGAGTCCAGGACAGAGCGGGGCCCTCGGGAAGCGTGGAGTCAGCAGGGCAGGCTTCTCTCTGCCTTTTCCAGCCCAGCACATGTGCCCGCCCATCCCGCAGCTGAGGCGGTTCTAACACCTCTGCTGACCTCTCCAGGTGCCTGTGACCTTTGAGGATGTGGCCGTGACGTTCACCCAGGAAGAGTGGGGGCAGCTGGACCCGGCACAGAGGACCTTGTACC